GAATTACTTTTTATTTTGTCAGGATAGGTCTGTTTTGGTTTTTACCTCAGTCTTTCCCCTCATTATTTTAAATTGATTTTTCCAGATTTATTGAGATATAATTGACATAAAGCATTTGTAAATTAAGGTGTACAACATGTTGATTTGATACATTTGCATATTGAAAAGTTTGTGTATTTTAAAAATATTACCATCAGAGCATTAGCTTATACCTCCATCATGTCAAATAATTACCATTTCTTTTTTTGTGGTAAGAACACTTACAACTTGGGGCGCCTGGATGGCTTAGTCGGTTGAGCGTCCGACTTTAGCTTAGGTCATGATCTCGCGGTTCGTGGGTTCGAGCCCCGTGTCGGGCTCTGTGCTGACTGCCAGCTCAGAGCCTGAAGCCTGTTTCGGTCTGTGACTCCCTCTCTCTCTGACCCTCCCCTGCTCAAGCTGTCTCTCTCTCTCTCCTGGAAATAAATAAAACATTAAAAAAAAAAAGAACACTTACAATCTACTCTTAGTAACATTCAAGTATATAATATAGTATTATTAGCTATAATAACCATGGTGTACATTAGATCTCCAGAACTTCTTAATCTTATAACTGGAAGATTACCTTTGATCAATATCTCCCCAATTTCCCACATTGCACCCCCAGCCTCTGTTAATCATCATCTTACAGTCTATTTCTCTTAGTTTCTTTGTTGTTGTTGTTTTAGATTCCACACATAAGAGTTATCATACAATATGTATCTTTCTCTGTCTACATACCTCAATTGACATAATGCCCTCAAGGTACATCCAAGCTTTATAAATGGTAGATCTTCTTCTTTCTCGTGGCTGAATAGTATTCTATTGTATATGAACCATATATTTATCCATTCATCCACTGACAGATACTTATGTTGTTTCTACATCTTGGCTATTATGAGCAATGTTGTAATGGACATGAGAGTAAAGATATCTCTACAAGATTCTGATCCCTTTGGATATGTACCCAGAAGTACAATTGTTGCATCATGAGGTAGTTCTATTTTAATTTTTGAGGAACCTCCATGCTGTTTTCCACAGTAGCTGCACCGGTTTGCATCCTCACCAATAGTGCAAGAGAGTTACTTTTTCTCCACATTCTTGCCAACACATATTATTTATTGTCTTTTTTTTTAAGTTTTTAATTTTTTAAGTTTTTTATTTATTTTCTCAAGAGAGAGACAAAGCACAGCAGGGAGGGGCAGAGAGAGAGGGAGACAGAATCTGAAGCAGGCTCCAGCCTCTGATCTGTCAGCACAGAGCCCAATACGGGGCTCAAACCCGTGAACCATGAGCTGAAGTCGGATGCTTAACAGACTCAGCCACCCAGCAATCCCTCTCTTGTCTTTTTTGATGTGAGCCATTCTGATAGGTGTGAGGTGACACCTCATCATGGTTTTGATTTGTATTTGAGTGATCTTAGTCTTAAGGTAAATCTTTGGTCCTGTGACATAGTCTTTATTCCTTAGGTGTGGCCCTTCTTGGGTTTTAATGGAGATGTTGAGGTGTTTACCAAGCCCCTCTAATGTGGGAGGATTCGAATTTCAAACTCTGTCTGTCCCGTGATAAGAAGTAGCTCACATATCAGCCACTAGCGCCTGCCAGATATTGATACCCCTTTGTCTCTTCACAGGGCCTCCTTTTCATGCACAATTCAGGTATCAGCCAATGGCTGGAAGACCCTTCCCCACTTCCCAGCAGCTCTCCACTTTTTCTGAGACATTTATCCTCAATTTCCATCTGCCTGGCAGCCACAATCTTTGTCCTCTGACATCTCGGACCAACAGGCCTTTGGCCCCGTGGCGAGTCATAAGTGCTCTGAATTCAGTTAACAGTTGAGCTTAGATGCAGGAGATCTTTACAGTGACTCCATTCGTTCGAGGTTTATTCTTATCCAGATTTTTTCTAGTTTAGGTCACTCTCAGGTTCTAGAAAATGTTGTGACATTTAAAAAATATTTATTCAAGAGATTGTAATTGGTATCTATGTGAAGACTACTGATACAATCTAGAAACAACCCTCTGTGTCCTTTTTAATTAAGATTTTTCTAAAAATCCTTAAATATGCATACATTTTATTTTGAAGTAAGAAAAGAACAAAAGACTTGCTGATAATTTGAAGATAGGGGTTTGAGAAGAGGGAGAAGGCCAACATTTCTAGGACATGTTTCTGAAGCCCACTGAGCCTCTGGACCTGCACGCACATGCTGGTAACTGAACTAAGCACTTCCACTATGAGCTAATTCAGGGGCGCCTGGGGGCTCAGTTGGTTGAGCATCCAACTTCGGCTCAGGTCATGATCTTGTGGTTTGTGGGTTCGAGCCCCACATCAGGCTCTATGCTGACAGCTCAGAGCCCAGAACCTGCTTCAGATTCTGTGTCTCCCCCTCTTCCTGCCCCTCCCCCGCTCATGCTCTGCCTCTCTCTGTCTCTTAATAATAAATAAACATTAAAAACAGTTTTTAAAATAATATGGACTAATTTGAAAGAACCTGGAATGACAAGGAAAGAATTACACAGTGGTTTTAAACTGAAAGAAACAGCTTATAAAATAATAAGTATAAAGTTATTCTATATTTATTAAAGTCTGTGTATATATGCAAATACAGACAGACAAAAAAAATTGTTCACGCCAGCCTTTGGATGGAATTAAAAGGCTATGATTTTTTATTTTCTCCTTTTAAATGTCTTTGTTTTCCAATTTTATTAGCATGAAAGACACATTTGGAAAGAAGAAACCCCATGGATCTTGTTCAGGGAATCCCTACAACACAGAACAACAGAAAACCTGGGAGCAGATAGGGGTGTGAGCCATATTGGGGCTCTCTGGGCTTGGGATCCTCCATGGTAGCTCTCCCACATGGCCTCCCATATAGAATGCCTCCCTCAACCCTAGGATGGGAACAGGAGCCTCTCCTGCAGAATTCTGGCCCCAGAGTTCATCTCTGCAAGCACTTCTGGCAACCAGCTTCCCCTGCAGTCAGAGCAGCGAGGCAGGCAAAGCCCACACCTCCGTGGCCGCAGCCAGTCCCAACACAACTGTACTGGCCAGCCACGCTCCTGTGTCCCGTGCAAAGTTTGGAGGCTCCAGGATTGTGTTGCAAACTCTGCCCCCAGCTGCCATCCCAATACCTCTGCCCAGGTTTCCCAGGTTCTGTAAACCTCATAAACGTGAGGTTTATTTCCAAGTAGGGAAAAATAAAGAGAATTGTCACCGTCCCCTTGGCTAACTATGTCACAAAAATGCTTCTGTGCAGCTTTTCCAAAATTACTTGTAATTGGTACAAATCATCCCTGGCTGATTGGTTCATTCTGTCAGCTAGTTTTACTGGCTTCCTGCCATGTGCCTGGTGCACAATACTTGATTTGAAGTGAATTGATTTTGACAAACAGCACCTGGTGCAGGAGTAAGGGTTAACAAGACATTGTCCTTGTCCTCAAAGAGTTTAATGTCTGTAGAGGGAGATAGACAAGGTGACGTGGAGGAGGGCTGGCCTGGAAACATAATGACAGAGCTTGCGAGGTGTCACAGCCCTGTTCCATCCAAAGATCATTTGTGTCCACGAGCTTCCAAAACACACACATCTTGCACCCCATCTGCAACCCTGCACAGTTAGGTCTCAAGAGGAATGAAGTGTTCAGGCCACGAGGAGCCTCCCTTCCCTAAGGCCTCCCCTGGTGCCCAAATTCTCTGGAACCCAAATCTCCTTGGGTCCTGGGTCAATGGGTTTGTGGTTTGTGATAGGAGAGGGCAGGGCACAGCTGGCCTGGTTCACTTCACACACTGATTCCCATAACATCTCCACATCCCAGACTTGAAAAAGCCTTGTCAGATAATTACCCTAAAAGTGCTAAAAAATCTTTTTGCAAGATTTCTAGGACATTTTATTTATTTGTTTATTTATTTATTTATTCATTCATTCATTCATTCATTCAATAGTTTATTGTCAACCAAAAAGTTGGTTTCCATGAACACCCAGTGCTCATCCCCACAAGTGCTCTCCTCCGTGCCCATCATCCTCCTTCCCTCTCCCCCACCCCCATCATTCCTCAGTTTGTTCTCAGCATTCAAGAGTCTCTCATGGTTTGCCTCTCTTCCTCTCCCCCACTATTTCCCCCCTTCTTCGCCCCCATGGTCCTCCGTTAAGTTCCTCCTAATCCTCCTATACGTGCAAACATAAGATATATGTCCTTCTCTGCCTGACTTATTTCACTCAGCATAACACCCTCAAGGTCCATCCATGTTGCTACACATGGCCAGATATCATTATTTCTCATTGCCATGTTGTATTCCATGGTATAGATAAACCACATCTTCTTGATCCATTTATCAGTTAATGGACACTTAGGCTCTTTCCATTTTTTATTATTGTTGAGAGTGCTGCTGTGAACACTGGGGTACATGTGCCCCTATGCATCAGCACTCCTGTATCCCTTGGGTAAATTCCTAGCAGTGCTAAAATTTTTTAAAAGACAACTCTTGGAAACTCTGCTTCCAGGCAGAACCTCTTCTCCTAAAACAAAATATTTCCCTAAGCTACCACCTTCTCTAGCGCTGCCTGCAGCAAAGGCAGCCTCCAGAGCCTTGGCGGGGAGAGGGAGGAGTGCGGCCACAGACACCACCCAAAGCCTGTGTCTTGGGCCCCCGCCTTGAGCACAGGCATGTTAGAGAGGCAGTTGGGCTGAGGATAGGGCCACGTCCACACTCATGATTTCTTTAATCTATTTAGTGCCTCTCAGGTCACAGAGCTGCCACACAGGTCATTCCTTGACCCTATGGGACAGGACAACCAGTGTCTGGGAAGATAAGGGGCTTCCTGAGGCCCCAGGGTGCAGTGGTGCGCAGTTGGGCCCCATGGATGCTGCATAGTGCATTGAGATGTGCATTCCAGAAACAGGATGGGGGCTTCCAGACACCAGGATGCATCTCACTTTAGGGAAAGCTGCACTCTGGGTCATTGCATGATGCATTGGGCCTCATGCTCAGGAGAGCAGCCTCCGGAGGGCTGCTTTGACCTCCGTGTTCCTCAAGGAGTAGATAAGGGGGTTCAAGGATGGTGCCACAGAAGTGTAGATCACAGACACCACCTTGTCCTTGTCCAGAGAGTAACTGGATGCTGGGCGGATGTAGGTGTAGATGACGGTACAGTAGTACAAGGAGACAACCAGGAGATGGGAGGAGCAGGTGGAGAAGGCCCGCCGCTTTCCTGAGGATGACCGGATGCGCAGGATGCTGGCGATGATGCAGCCGTAGGAGAGCATGATCACAGAGAAGTTCCCCAAGGCCAAGATCACATCCGCAGTGAAGGCCATGGCCTCATTCAGGTGTGTCGGGGCACAGGAAAGCTTCAGCAGAGGCGGGATCTCGCAGAAGAAGTGCTCGACCACGTTGGAGTGGCAGAAAGGCAGGCGCAGCAGGAGGCCCGTGTTCACACTAGTGTTGGTCAGGCTGACCGTCCACACAGCCACTGCCAAGAGCCTGCACACCCGGGAGTCCATGAGAGTGCTGTAGCGCAGGGGCCAGCAGATGGCCACATAGCGGTCATAGGCCATAGCCGAGAACAGCAGTAGCTCAGCCCCCAGGGACCATGTGAAGAAGAAAAGCTGCACAATGCAGCCTCCATAGGAGATGGTCCTGTCACCCACCATGCTGCCCAGCAGCTTGGGCAGGATTGTAGAGGTGCAGAGGATGTCCACCACAGCCAGGTTGGTCAGGAAGAAGTACATGGGGGTGTGTAAGGCAGGGCTGGAGCCAATGACCATCACAATGAGCAGGTTTCCGGAGAGGGCCACCATGTAGAGGAGGAGGAAGGTGGGGAAGAACAGCATTTGCAGCCGAGGTGTTTCTGAGAATCCCAGAATGAGGAACTCGGTGACCTGGGTCTGGTTCATCACAGCTACTGAGGGTGGGGGCCTAGGCCCTGGCTGTGAAGGAAAGAGGTACTCACTGTTTCAACTTGTTCTGAGCAGCCCATCTTGCAAGTATTTGTGTGTCCCACTTTGAAAGAGAACTTCAAATACTATTTTGGTAATAAAAATGAAGATTTATGTCCTTGAAAACTTCAGAGAACAGGGACATCACAGAGAAAGCAGCTGCCTTAATGTATAAAGAAGCCCCAGTCCTCACCCGCCTCCTCCCTAGTGCAGGACTGAGATGGCCACTCAAAGGATGTCCAGACCTGGAGCCCTGGTCAGCGAGGGCCAATCTCCCCAGCCACATAGAACACTGAGCACACATGGTGCTGCGGGGGTGCTTACAGAGAACTGGGGGACCTGACTGTGTTTACAGCCCACTCATCCACTCAGACAGGGTCTGGGAACAGAGAAGGGATGGGAGGGATGGGGAGAAGGGCGAACAGTAAACAGAAAGAGGCTGCCTCCGAAATCTGGTTATCTCCTTCCCATACTGACCACATCAAGGCAGCACTGGCTGAGGGGGACCGAGGGTCCCAAACACATGCACTGGGCACAAGGGACAGGCCTGTCTGCAGGGTGCAGGACAACCCACAACAGGACCTGTAGATCAGAGACAAATCACCACCCAAACTCTTCAGCTGAATCAAAGAGTTCCCCCAAGATAAACCTGGGATAGTGGGGACCTGGGCTCATCCGTGCCAGCTTCTAAAGCAGACGTGGCATGGCTCTTTCTAGATTATTGTGTCAGCGTGGGGCACTGTGTTTATTTCAAAACGGTGCATCTTGAAAATATTTCACTGCTTAGATCATAGCCCTTTAACGAAAAAAGACTTTCAGACCTCTGCATAAAGCCAGGGGGTTGGCGACCTACTTGCTGGCATTTTTGTAGGGATGTCGACTTTCACTAAACATTACAAGGACATGTCGCTGTGAAAGGTGGTCCGAGAATGAGAAACCAGATCACCCACTGGAATGTGCTCACTGGTGTAGAAAATGCTGACACATATCAACCAAAAATCTGATACTTCAAAAAAAAAAAAGAGAGAAATGAGAGAGAGAGAGAGAGGGAGAGGGAGGGAGAGGGAGGGAGAGAGGTGGATCTTATACTACGTACTCTCCATGTTGCTCCTTTTCCCTTTTAGAAATATGATTAGAGAACTTTCATCCTCAAATATAACAGCCAAAGGGATCTCATGGTTCTTAGTCACAGAGTAAAATGTAATTATCCAACATGATCAAAACACTGTTATTCATATTTAAAACATACATGATACATAGAATCAACATTCAATGATAGTAGGTGCTTACAAAAATATGAAAAAAGTCTTCTGGAATTCCTGGTATCCTCTCAAGAGACTTCCTTCTTGGTTCCAAGAAAAAAACTTTAGAGAATCATCAGCAGTTATTAGGAAATAGAGTTGGTTTTAAAAAGAAAAAATACAGTGAGAGACACCTGTAACCGAGAGCAGGATCAGTTGGAGATTTGTAACCAGGACTGGAGAAGCCTTATATCATCTGGAATAGGCAGACACAGGTAGTGCTGGTGCACCCTGAGGGATCAATTAGCACAGAATCTGCTTGCCCATGGATGCAAGACTCTCTGGAGAAGCTGACCAGCACCTGGGGGACAGATCTCATCACCAGCAAGAAAGAATAGAAGATATTCTTGGCACCTGATGGTGTGTTCCAGGCTCCAATAGGGGCTGGTGCTCAGCAGTAACCACCCAGGGACTGGTTGACCAGCAGCAGCATCAGGAAGAGCTGATGGGCATGTCAGGCAGTCAGACTGTAATGGCATTGAGCCAATGAACATACTGATCCACCATTTCTGCCTTGGACAGACCTAGTCCTTTCTTCCTAGATAGATGTATACAAAAATTGGGGTGCCTGGGTGGCTCAGATGGTTAAGTGACTGACTTGATTTTGGTTCAGGTCATGATCTCAAAGTCACGAGATCAAGCCTTTCATCAGGCTCTGCGCTGAGTGTCAAACATGCTTAAGATTTTCTCTCTCTCTCTCTCTCTCTCTGCACATCCCTCCCCTCAAAAAAATCAAGGCCAACCCTCATTTTCCTAGAGCTCTTCCTGGATATTACCAGGTCCCAGAACCTTGGAGTAGCTAATGGCCAGTTGTCAGTGGCCGCTGGCCATTATTCTCAGCTTTCTGTGCCCCCGGTTTCACATGCAGAGCTGGTGAAGACTTCGTCCAGTCAGGCAACACTCCTCTCCTTATTCAACAAACCTGGGAGAATGGAAGTTTCCCTGCTCTGGGAAAACCAAACTAATCCAGACTAGTGGCAACAGGCTGTTCTGTTCCCAGAAATGGTGCGTCCCAGAAAAGGTGGCTTTTCACACCTCCAGGACATTTACTCCAGGACAGTATGTGGAAGCAGTGGCTGGCTGGTCACCAGGTGTTCTGAGACTTGTCCAGACTGCTGATCTGGGCTGGACTTCTTCAGTTCATGGTCAGGGCACTTGTCAGCTTGAGTTTAATCTGCGGTTCACTCACCTTACCCTCAATTGCTTGGTTTAAGAAAGGGTCAGCCTGTCACTTGGGATGCTTCCCCCAGTTTTATTTTGGTATGAATGACAAATAACTGTTTTATATATTTTGTTTTAACAACTTGAGTTTTTAAAAAATATACAATGTGATGATTTGATAGATGTGTACATTGTGAAGTGATTGCCACAATCAAGTTAAATAACATATCCGTCATCTCGCAGAGTTACTTTTTTGTTGTCGAGAAAGCTTAATATGTACAGTCTTAGCAAATATCAGGTAAAGTGATCTAGATTCATTCTTCTGCACATTGCTGTCCGGTTTTCCTAACACCATTTATTGAAGAGATTGTCTTTTATCCATTGGATATTCTTTGCTGCTCTGACCAAGATTAGTTGACCAGAGAGTTGTGCATCCATTTCTGGGTTTGCTATTCTGTTCCATTGATCCATGTGTCTGTTTTTTATTCCAGCACCATACTGTCTTGATGACTACAGTTTTGTAATATAGTTTGAAATCCGGAATCGTGATGCCTCCAGTTTTGTTTTTCTTTTTCAGGATTGCTTTGGTTATTGGGGGTCTTTTGGGGTTCCATACAAATTTTAGGATTGTTTGTTCAAGCTCTATGAAAAAAATGCTGGTGTTATTTTGATAAGGGATTGTATTAAACATGTAGATTGTTTTGGGTAGACATTTTAACAATATTTTTTTCTCCAATCTATGAGCATGGAATATTTTTCCATTTCTTTGTGTCCTCCTCAATTTCTTTCATAAGTGTTCTGTAGTTTTCAGAGTACATATCTTTTACCTCTTTAATTAGGTTTATTCCTAAGTATCTTTTTGTTTTGGTGCAATTGCAAATGGGATTGAGTCCTTGATTTCTTTTTTTCTGTGTTGTGTTATTGATGTATAGAAATGCAACAGATTTCTGCACATTGATTTTAAATCCTGCAACTTTGTTAATTTCATGTACTAGTTCTAGAAATTTTTTGGTGGAGTCTTTTGGGTTTTGGACATGGAATATGTTGTCTGGAAACAGTGAAAGTTTAACTTCTTCCTTGCTGATTTGGATGTCTTTTTTCTTTTTGTTGTCTGATTGCTGAGGTTAAGACTTCCAGTACTATGTTAAATAGTAATGGTGAGAGTGGACATCCTTGTCTTGTTTTTGACCATTGATGAAAGGCTCAGTATTTCCCCACTGAGGATGAATTTAGCTGCAGGTCTTTAATATTTGGCCTTTATGATGTCTCTCTACCCAAAAAACAAACAATCCAGTGAAGAAATGGGCAGAAGATATGATGTTGATGTATATTCTATCTATCCCTACTTTGTTGAGAGTTTTTATCAAGAAAGGATGCTGTGTTTTGTCAAATGCTTTTTATGCATCTATTGACAGGATCATATGGTTCTTATCCCTTCTCTTATGGATGTGGTGTTATCATGTTGATTGATTCACAAATATTGAACTGGCCCTGCAGTCCAGTAATAAATCCCACTTGATCATGGTGAATAATTCTTTTAATGTATTGTTGGGTTCAATTTGCTGGTAACATTTTGAGATTTTTTTGCATCCATATTCATCAGGGATATTGGCCTGTAATTCTCCTTTTTAGTGGGTTCTTCATCTGGTTTTGGAATCAAGGTAATGCTGACTTTGTAGAATGAGTCTGGAAGCTTTCTTTCCATTTCTATTTTTTTGGAACAGTTTGAGAAGAATAGGTATTAACTCTTCTTTCAATGCCTGGTAGGATTCCTGTGGGTAGCCATCTGACCCTGGATTTTTTTTTAAAGGTTTATTTATTTATTTTGAGAGTGAGAGTGAGCATGATCAAGGGAGGGGCAGAGAAAAGGGGAGAGAGAATACTAAGAAGGCTATGCACTCTCAGTGTAGGACTCTATGCACAGTTTGATCCCATGAACCATGAGATCATGATCTAAGCCAAAATCAAGAGCTGGATGCTTAGCTGACTGAGCCACCTAGACACCCCAAGACTTTTATTTGTTAGGAGATTTTTTGATTAATGATTCAATTTCCTACTGGTTATGGATGGATCTGTTTAAATTTTCTATTTCTTCCTGTTTCAGTTTTGGTGGTTTGCATATTTCTAGGAATTTATCCATTTCTTACAGATTGCCCAATTTGTTGGCATACAATTGCTCATAATATTCTCCTGTGTTTTGCTTGTATTTCTGAGGTATTGGTTGTGATCTCTTCCCTTTCATTTGTGAGTTTATTTTTTGGGTCCTTTCTCTTTTCTTTTTGATAAGAATGGCTAGGAGTTTATCAGTTCTTTAGAAGAACCAGCTCTTAGTTTCAATGATCTGTTCTACTGCTTTGTTACTTTGTTTTGTTTCTATATTGTTTATGTCTGCTCTAGTCTTTATTATTGCCCTTCTTCTGCTGGCTTTGGGCTTTAGCTGCTGTCCCTTTTCTAGCTCCTTGAGGTGTAAGATTAGGTTGTGTTTTTTGAGAACTTTCT